CTGGACCCCCCTCCCCCCAGACCCCCGACGTCATGATTCTTGTCAGAACCTCCACCCAAGAGGTCTCGACCCATTCCCCAGGACTGGTTCTCATCCTGAATCGTTTGTTGACGGTCCCGAGGCCCGGTAGGGGCCCCCAGAGGGGGAGGGAGGCAGGAGGAACGAGGGGGGAAGAGAAGGGGGAGGGGGCGATGAGGAGGAGGAGGAGGAGGAGGAGGAGGAGGAGGAGGAGGAGGAGGAGGAAGACAAGGAGGAGGGGGGGGAGGGGGCGGAGGACGAGGAGGCCGAAACTGGAGGAACACCTCCCGACGTCATCTCTCCATAGCTCGAGAGAGGCTCAGGGCCCGCACCGCACCGCGCCGAGCGCGACAGGAACCAGGGAGGCGCCCGCCGCGCGGGGGGTGCTCGGAGGGCGATGCCCGGCGCCGACGCAAGACGCCCACCCGCGTGGACCTCGGGGAGCGCGTGCCGAGGCCGCCCTCTGCCTTCCACCACATCGCTCGGTGGCAGACCATGGGAGCCTCGCGTGCCCTCGCACACTCCGTTGGCGAGCGTTCCCTTACTCGGCGTTTCGACATGGACCGGAAAGGGGGCTCCGGACCTCTGAGGAGGGGGAAGAGGAGGGGGAGGGGGCGATGAGGAGGAGGAGGAGGAGGAGGAGGAGGAGGAGGAGGAGGAGGAGGAGGAGGAGGAGGCGGGAGAGGGGCTCCGGACCTCTGATCAGCGCGACTGTTTGCAACAGTGCGTCCTGTGGGGGAGGGACCCCGCCGGCTCGAAACAGGCGCCAGACACCGCCGAGATCCACTCCAGGGGGGGGGGAGGGGGGGGGGGCGAAGGCCCGCGCCGATCGGCCAACAGTAGATAGGAAAACGACGACATGTTCCCCGCATGCTTCGTGGGGTTCTGGTCTTCTTCCCACCCGCGTCACACCCGCGTCTCTCTCTCCCTCTCACACACACACACACACACACACCCCTCACCCTCTTCTTTCTCGCTCGTCGCCATACAACCGCACACGCACATATGTATGTATATACATATACTCCGATTCATCTATGTTGATAAGGCCCCCCACCTCCACCAAACGAATTTGGCCCACCCGGGCCTCTCGGGCAACCCTCTAGGCGACCCAGGGGAGCCGAACCCCACGAGAGCTCGAAAACGGCCCCAGAAGGCTCCAGGCGTTCCGGCGCGCTCCCGAAACGACCCCAGAGAGCCCCAAGACGGTCCACGACGACCCCCAAAAAGCCGTCATACCCCCAAAGATCGCTCCGAAACGCCCCAAGATGCCCCAAGAGGCCAATGGTTTTTGGTGAATTTGGGGGTTCTCCTCTTTTCGGCTTCCCGACGCTCCAAGACGGCGGTCTTCTGGGCGTCCGAAGCCGCCTGAGAGGCTGGAAAGTCGGCCCATAACCATCCGAAAGGGCGTCCAGGCAGTTTAAGAGAGTCCCAAAACGGCACAACAGGGTTCCGAGATGGCCTACCAAAGCCCTATGACGGCCCAACATGGCCCCCAAACATCCTTCGAAGCACTCCAAATCGTCACCCCGTCGTCCAGGGAGACCGCGGTTGGAGGCAGGGTGGCCCGAGGAAGCCCCCAGAGGCCCCCAGAAGACGCCCAGGTCTCCAGAAGGCCTCAAGAAAGACTGTACAACTTGTGTGAGGCCCCCACAAACTCTCCAAGGAGGAGCCTCCGCAGAAAGAGCTCAAGAAGGTAGGGAGAATATGCAAGGTATGGCGAGGATGAAGAAACATAAGCATGGAAGAAGGATAAAACATCACACTATTGTACCGGCGATGCCGGAAAAGGCGACAAGGAGTTATCGCTAAATTGTCGGCTTGACCTTCCTGCCATTCCGCCTGCATACCAATCTTCAAGGACCGAGGTGCATGGTGCGAAGCACCAATGCAGTCTTATGTGTATAGATATGCACGTCATACAGATACACACGTGCAACCGCACAACACATGACACATACACGCCCACATTACACGCACACCACACAACGCATACACGAAGGATTCGGAGGGCGTGGCAGGCGTGGCACCTTCTCGGCACCAGGCGGGGTGCGCAGGGGGGAAGTAGATGGCCTAATTATATACGCGCCAATATCGCTCAGCCTAGCAGGCGTTGCATTTTCTCGACAACAGAGGGGGTACGCAGGGGGTGGTCGCTGAGCGCGGTCTCTATACGGGCCAATGTCGAGGGGTGGTCCCTCACCGCGGTCTCTATACGCGCCAAAGTCGCACAACCCCTTCAGGCGTGGCACTTTCTGGACACCAGACGGGGTGCGCAGGGGGTGGTCCCTGAACGCGGTCTCTATACGCGCCAATGTCGCAAAGCGCAGCAGGCGCGGCAATTTCTCGACACCAGACAGGGTGCGCAGGGGGGAAGTAGCTGGCCTATATACGCGCCAAGGTCGCACAACCTAGCAGGCGTCGCATTGTATCGACACCACAGCGGGTGCGCAAGGGGTGATCCCTCACCGCGGTCTCTGTACGCGCCAATGTCGCAGGGCCTAGCAGGCGTGGCATTCTCTCGACACCACAGCGGGTGCGCAGGGGATGATCCCTCACCGCGGTCTCTATATACGCGCCAATGTCGCAGGGCCTGGCAGGCGTGGCACTTGTTCGACATCAGAAGGGTGCGCACGGGGTGGTCCATGAACGCAAGGCGTGGGAGGCTGGCACTTCGTCGATACGACGAGATGTGTACACAGGGGGTGAGCGCAGTATCCGTCGCAGGCTCGCAGAGTGTGGCCGGCGTGACACTTTCTCCACACCGCAGACGGTGCGCAGGGCGCGGTTGTCGTGGCCGTCGCGCGCTCGCAAACAGGGGACTTCATGTCGAAGAGCTGGACACCGCCGCGCCACTGCCAAAGAAGTGCAGTGCAGGAATGAATATGACCAAGGCGGAATGGGACGGCGAAAAGATGGAAACGGGACAAGGGGAGGATGGAGGAGGCTCACGTAATGCTGCGCTGCAAACTGTGAGATCTTGCGTAGAGGATGTCAAGGTGAATGACACACTGCTTCCACGTTCGGGAAAGCAGGATGCGACACAGGTTATGAACAAACGCGACATAAAATAGCTCAGTATGGGGGTTCCTCGGTAGCGTAATTAGAACGCGTTATCGTCGATTACTGGCGCATGGCAATCGAGAAGATAGCGCCGATGTAACGCTGGCTAGCGTCGATTATCGTCGATTCGCAAGAGCCAACAAAATAGTATGGGAGGCTGCCATGAGTTGCCACCAAAATATCGGTCAGGGGACCGCTCTCGTCGGGGAGACGTGAGACTCGGGTCAGTGGGGCTCGGATTGGCCTGACGGGGCCGTCAGGAAAATGACGAGGCCCAACCTGAGATTCGACGCGAACTCCCGCTGCAAACAAATCCCACGGAAACGGGACTGTCACAACTCAGGACGGGCTCGTCAAAAAGCGTCGGCAAATCCGGGCTCTGGCGAACGCGAGTCTTCTGTTGTTCCCATCGTGCTTAAGGACCACATCCCAAAACAAATGACGAGCACACCGAGAAGTACCGTACCAGTGTCTGTCCGACACGCTGGCGAAATGCCGAACGAGTATCGCCTCCCAGGGCCCGACACGTAAACACCCTGCAGTTCCGATACTTTCTTGGTGCTCGACATCCTTTCTGGCGGTCGAGACTCAAGTAGGTTGGAACATCATAACTCAAGTCTGACGTCCCCCCGATCTTTCACCCCTCCGCGGCGGCGGTGGCGGCGCCCGCCTCCCCGCCGCCGCCGGCGCCCGCGGCTCCAGCGCTGTTCGCCGGGGCTTCGGGGCCGGTGGCGGGCGTGCCGCCCGCGGGCTCCGCCTCGGCGGGCGCCTCGGCGGCCTCGGCGCTGCCGCTGCGGATCTCGGCGGCGGCCTCTGGAGCCTCCGCGGCGGCAGCCGGGTCCAGCCCGCCCGCCGCGGGCCAGCTGCCGCCGCGCGCGGCCGCCGGGCTGCCGGCGCCCAGGCCCGCCGCCGCCTCGTCGTCGCCAAAGGCGTGGCAGACGCCAGGGCTGCCGCCGGCGTCCAGGTTGGCCTGCAGGGACTCCAGGAAGTCGGCCCCGAGGTCGCCCGTCGCCAAGGCGCCGTCGTCGAGCGGGTCGAGGGCCACGGCCCGCGCGCCTGCTGCCCCGGCCGGTGCCAGGGAGGCGCGCCGCAGCAGCAGCGCCACCAGGTCTGCCTCCCGCGAGCCGCACAGCAGGTGCTCTGCGCCCGCACCTCGCAGCCAGGGCTCCAGGTCGTCCTCGTTGATGTCCCGCTTGGCCGAGGAGGACGTGCGCAGGTCCGTGACGCGCAGCCGGAGGTTCGTGGTGTGGAAGAGGGCCTCGACGCAGTCCGAGCCGTCGAAGACCTCGACGCGGAGCGCCGGCTCTGGCGGGGCGCCCGCCCCGATCGGCTCCGGCCCGCGCTCGATGCGGCCGAGCAGTCGCTCCCGCCGCCACTCGCGCGTGGAGGGGCGCGGCGGCGCTGCCGGAGGCGGCCCCTCGCCGTCGGCGCCAGCGGTGGGCAGCCGCTCGGGCTCGAAGTGCAGCTCCAGCGAGGGCAGCACCTCCACGGCCCCGAGCAGCAACTCCCCGACGCGGGCACGCACCGCCTCGGGCCCGAGGTGCTCCGCCGCGAGGCTTCGCGGGGGCGGCAGGCCGCAGACGGCGAGCAGGCGCTCGAGGGCGGGGCCAGTGAGCTCTGCCCGGCTCTCCTTCGCCGACGAGGGCTGCGAGAGCATGCACCTCGTGGCTGCACGCAAGAGTGACCCTATCGGCAAGAGTGACCTTTGCTGCGCGGCTGCAGGGGGCCGCGGAGGAGGCCAAATTCAAGCAATCCAAGCGCGTGAACCAATGCGGGTGGGACCCCTGTGTGCCCGCTCCAAAGGTCACTCCGGCGAAAGGCCACTCTTACGCGTACAGCCGTACCTCAGGCAAACACCGCCGCCCTCGCCGCCGGCCTCCGCAGCCTCGAAGGTGGCCGACAAGAGGACCACGCCGTCGTCAGCGGTAAAGCGGGTTTCGCGCTTGAGGCAGATCGCCTCATCGTCGTCGTCGTCGTCGTCGTCGTCGTAGTCGTAGTCGCAGTCGTCGTCGTCGTCGTCGTCGTCGTCGTCGTCGTCGTCGTCGTTGCCGTCGTCGTCGTCGTCGTCGTCGCCTCGGGCATGATCGCAGGCGGCGCCGTCGAGGCCGCCGAGGCGAGCTGCGACGGGGCGGGCGGCGGCGCGGGCAGGCCTCCGCGGATGCTCAGCCTGGCAGGCGGAGAAAGCAGGCGTTCAATTGTTACCTGTTATTCTGAGTCGTACTGTTATTAGCATTACCATTGTGAGTGTTGTTAGTGCCGTTATGTTGTTCATCGTTACTGTTGTTTTACTCGTATGACCATTCTAATTCTTAGCATTGTGAGTACTGCTATCAATGATATGATTGTTCGTGTTGCTCTAGTACAAGTTTGGGCAGTGGGAAAGGGCAGCACTGAGGATACGAACGGTGACGATGCCGTGCCAGGGGCTGTGCTGAGCTGCCCTGCACTGCGCCAAACTGCGCCGTGCCGTGCTGAGCTGTGTCGGCTGCACGCAAGAGTGACCCTGGGCAAGAGACCTTTGGTGCGCGGCATTTTTGGGGGCCGCTGGGGGACCAAACACATGCGCGCAAGACGCTACTACCGCACCGCGTTCGGCGATCGGGGGGCCCCATTGGGACCGCACCAAAGGTCACTCCAGCGAAGAGTCACTCTTGCGTGTAAACGACTGTGCTGTTCCATGCTGTGTTGTTGAGCTGGGACCGACCATCCTGGCATTCCTATGGGCCTGCCACGACATGTTCTTCGAACCCAGAACACTTGTAATAACATTATCCCAGTGCGACCGAAAACTACATTTACATCTACACCTGCATCTACATATACATCAACATCAAGAGCGAGACTCACATCCACGTCTACATATACACCTACATCTACACCTACATCTACATCTACACCTACACCTACATCCACATGCTATGCTGTGCTATGCTGCGCTATGCGATGCTATGCTATGCTGTGTTATGCTATGATATGCTATACTATGCTGCGCTATGCCATGCTATGCTAGGCTAGGCTATGATATGCTATGCTGCGCTATGCTATGCTGTGCCACGCTATGCTATGCTACGCTATGCTATGCTATGCTATGCTGTGTTATGTTATGCTATGCTGCGCTGCGCTACGCCAAGCAATGCTATGCTATGATATGATATGCTATGCTATGCTATGCTATGCTTAGCTATGCTATGCTATGCTATGCTTGGCTATGCTATGCTATGCTGATGCTGCGCTGCTCTATGCTGCGCTGCGATAAGCTAAGCTAAGGTAAGCTAAGCTGTGTTAAACTAAGCTAAGCTAAGCTAAGCTAGGCCAGGCTAGGCTAAGCTAAGCCAATCTAAGCTAAGCTAGGCTAACCTAAGCTAAGCAAATATGAGATAAGCTAAGCTAAGCTAAGCTAAGCTAGGGTAGGCAAAGCTAAGGTAAGCTAAGTTAAGCTAAGCTAAGATGATAAGCTAAGCTAAGCTAAGCTAAGCTAAGCTAAGCTTAGCTAAGCTAAGCTGGGTGAACCCAGGGGGCGCAACTGGGGGAACCGCGGGGCGGATACTGGGGGAACCGCCCAGGGCGCTTTCCACTGCCCGGCCCCTTTAAGCCCAGAGAGTAAGAACCCTTCTAGGCAGAGCCTAGGTAGGGAAAAAAACATGTTCTAAGAACATGAACCCGATGTTTAGAAACGACACAGTCTCAACCAAAACTGTGTTATAAGAGCATGCCGTGCAAACCAAATTTCATGTTCTTAGAACATTCACCTATAGGAAAGCTGGGACGCTTCGCCACTACTCGGTGTTGTGCTGTAAATGCTGCGCTGTGGATATGGCCGTCCTTGGCGTCCGTATCTTGACCGAGCTGATATGGATCTTTGGCTCGAGCTGCCTGAACGCATGGCTCGTCAAATGAGGGGCGCTCAACCAACTCGAACTCGAGATCCGATTTAGGTCCGGCACGGGACGAACCGAGAGGGGGCACAGGGCGAGTGCTGTCGCGCAGGAAATTGAAAAATCAGCCAACCTTTCTGGTGACATAGATTCCGACTTGCATGTGCTTTTGAAGAACTCTACCTCGAGATCCCTTGAACACAACTTGTGTTGGAAGTGCTTCAACACGCGCTCGTGAGGGCGCGCGCGCGTGGCCCGCATGGTGATATATGATATGGTTTCGTGCACTCCTGGCGCATGCTAAATTGCTAGATCAACGCAGATGCACCGAGTGGAGAGGTGAGAATGCAGGCTCTGGACGAGATTGGTGACATCAGACTGCTGTTCCCATGCTTTCAGCCAGTGCGCGCGGGCAGAGAACCTGCAAGATGTGTGCTGGAAAAGGAAGCTGTCGTTTTACACGGCGGTAAGTTAAGAAGCTTGCAGACCTAGTGTGCCTGGAATGATTTCGGCATGTGCGAGCGTATGGACGTTGCGCATGTGTTGGCAAAAGGATTACTGCGAGAGGGTCCTTGAGGCAAACACGTGGGCGCACGTTGTGTTATCTGACAAGGATGAGGGCGGGGGAGGCGATACCTGGCCCTCCCAGTATGGTACGGATTGTGAGGGCAATAGGCGATCGAACATGACCATGTGCAAGTTGCAATGCCCCAAAGGGGGTGAGTCTTTTCCTCGTTTTCTTCTTCGGAAGGACCATCTGCCTGCCGCGGTTGACCCCCCCAGCGCATGGCTGCCCCCCCGAGGCGCCCACAGGCGGACACCAGGCGACACCTCGGCCGACCCATCCGCGAGGTAAGAGCCCCTGCGTGCAAGCACTGTCGCTGTGCGATGCCGATCCCAGGGGGCAGCGCGGAACTCCGACGCCCTCTCTCTGCTGACGCAAACTTCTCCTTCCCAGCCAGCCTGCGGCGGAAGAACTGCAGGACCTCGCCGCGCGCAGAGGACGGCGATGCGGTCGGCGGGCCCTCCGGGAGGGCCGCCGCGTCCGCCACCACGGCCTGGAACGACCAGCCGCTGGCCGGCTCGAGCACCGCGACCCGCAGGGCCCTTGGCGAGTGGTCGTCGAGGGCGAGCACCAGCAGGCGCAGGCCCCCGACCTTTCGGGGGCTGCCAGAGATGCCAGCGACGAAAAGGAGCGGTCCCTACGCGAGAAGACAGGGGCGACCTCACGCCGCGGCTTGCGCGGGCCGCCAGAGCGACACACCGCGCGGAAAAGACGGCGCCTGCGCGCGACCTTACGCGGGAAGCTCACGCACGAATGCCCGCACAAGCGATCCCGTGTTGTTCTGTCACTCACGTGACCCTGGCATGTAAAGGGGCCCAGGGACACACAAACACACACACACACACACACGCACACACACTCACACACACACACACGCACACACACGCACACACACATAAATTAAGACAAATGCCCGGAGTCCCCATCTTTTCCCATATTTTCTTGGCGGAAGAAACGGGTCAGAACGCACGTTGCAACGTGCGTTCTGACCAACATCTCGAGGCGAATCCAGCCGTGGCGGCGAGGGCCTCCCAGGAGGCCTCCAGAGGGCGAAAGCCCATAGCCCCGACGCCACGAGTTGGTCAGTCATAGCGTCGACCCTACAGAAGTCTCGACCCAATCCAGCTGGGCTTGGTATTTCACCCTGAGCCGTTTTTCAACGGTCCCGAGGCCAAGTAAAGGCTCCCAGAGGCAGAACATATGGAAAAACCTTCCGTCGTGATTTTGGTTCAGGGCTCGAGGGGGTCTGGGAACGAGGCAAGGGTGGCCGCATCGCGCCTCTCTTGGGACGCACAGAGACATACTAGTATGAGGTCGGGCCTGTCCCCCACACATGCGGATTTTGGACGAAAAAGTTTAGACACCCCACAAATATTCAAGCAATGCCGAACAAATGCCAAACAGCGTCCCCGGACTATTTCTGAACTACTTTTGAGTTTTCCTCCTGTAAAGGGACACGCCCGACTTAATACTAGTACTATATGTCCTCCTTGGAGGTGCGCGCCCGACCCGAACATATAGTACACCCATCTTGTAGTATATCGATTCCCGAGCGGTGTGGCCAGAAAGCGCCCGCCACGACGCAGGTACGATAGGATTTCTCGGTGCGCGCGTCGCCCCTGGGGGGGTCGACGCACACATAGTATCAGTATGTTGGGGTGACACCGATCTCTGGCACCCCCCTGGGCCTTCTGGATCTCCGCGTACAGGCTGAGCGGCCGCGGCACGAGCTTGCCGCGCAGGCGGACGTCGTGCCTCTCGTCCACGCCGTCGACCGTCCTTTCGATTCTTCTGCTCCCCGCAGCGCAGCGAAACTTATGTTGCATCCCTGGGGGGCCTTGTCTGTCCACTCGCGGCCCTATCCGCGTTGAATCAGTGTCGAATCCATGCCGTACTCGTTGGATCCGTATCGAATCCGTGTCGAATCCGCGTCGAATCCACGCCAAATCTGCGTCGAGTCCGCATCGAACCCGCGTCGGGCACAAGAAAAGATACAAATTTTGGAGGAAGGCGAGGTCCCCCGAAGATGCAACGCAAGACATCGAAACCCCAGGCGTCGTGGAGCATACCGGAACAGAGGAAGAAAAGCTGCATAAACACACACTTTCAGAGGCCCGCGCTGATTTCCTGGATCGGCGCTGGCCCCCCCCTCTGGAGCGCGCCCGGGGCGGCGCCGGCGGCGCCGCCAGGGGGCTCCAGCGCCAATGCAGGGAACCCAGCGGACCTCCGAGAAATCATGTCTATGCCGTTGTCTGCACTCCGACAGAGGGCCCGGTCAGCCAGGTGAGAAGAGATCGGCGCCACGCCACGCGTGGACAGCGGCAGCAAGAGCAGGGAAAGGGAGCACAGGCGACAGGGAGGAGAGCAGCACGGAGAGGCGCAGGAAAGCGAGCGACCCATACATCTGGCGCAGTTTTCGATGCGCGGGCCCCTGGAGGTCCAGACCACTTCCCTATAGTGCCGGCGTTTCGCCCCGAATCGTTGTCTTTTCCCGCTCCCGAGGCTCAGCGAAAGCACCTGGAGGCCAAACAAGTTCCCAAACTGCCCGCTCTCCAAGTCTTGCTGGAGCGTCGGATCTCGGGTTTCCAGGGCTCCAGGCAAAGAGACGCCAGCCAGTTGCCCACCAGCGCTCTGAAGAGACAGCGAACTCCAGCGAAACCCTTCAGGCCTGCCCGTGAAGCTCCAAAACTAGAAGAACTTCACAGTCTTCGGGTGCTTTCCCGCGGGGATGCGACCGAGGGCCTCCTTAGGGCCCTTCTCCAACCGATTCCTGTGACGAACCAACAACACACACCCATACCCATAGGGGGAATCGGAGAGGGCTATAGGTGCGCGTTGTCGGATGGGGGTCCCCGCTCGAACGGGAGCGTTCCCCAGGGTCCGACAACCCGCACCCATGCCCATAGTCAGTCCTCCTCCCAACGACCTCCCTATGGGTATGGGTGCGTGTTGTTCGTTCGTCATCCTGCCGAGCAGGAACGAGGGAGGCCCTGGCAGGCAGCGCGCAGCAGCAGGGGGCGGGAGCCACCGGCCCGCCACTGGCCGTCCTCTCGATGCGGAGGGTGACCTTGATGGGGATCTTTCCCACCGCCACTACCATAGGCAGGAGAGGGAGGAGGCGGAAGAGGAGGAGGAGGAGGAGGAGGAGGACGAGGAGGAGAAGGAGAAGGAGGAGGAGGAGGAGGAGGAGGACGAGGAGGAGGAGGTGGAGGAGACGGAGGAGGAGGAGGAGGAGGAGGAGGAGACGGAGGATGAGGACGAAGAGAGGAGGAGGAGCAGGAGAAGAAAGAGGAGGAGGAGGAGGAGGAGGGAGGAGGAGGAGAGGAGGGAGGAGGAGGAAGAGGAGGGAGGAGGGAGGAGGAGGAGGAGGAGACGGAGGAGGAGGAGGAAGAGGAGGAGGAGGAGGAGGAGGAGGAGGAGACGGAGAAGGGGAGAGGAGGAGGAGGAGAAGGAGACGGACGGGGAGGAGGCAGCAAAGGACCCCCCCATCCTCGCTGCTCCTCCCACGTCCCGCCTATAGGGCAACGACGGCGGAACAAAATTGGCCCCTCAGACCTCTCGGCGGGCCTCCCGCGCCGGCCCCCTGCCCTCCAGGAGCGACAGCGTCACCAGGGGCAGGGCCTCCAGCTCCGCGGCGCTCGGGGGCACGAGCGAGGGGCCCACGACGTAGCGCCGGCAGGAGAAGAGGAGCGCCTCGCGCGCGCCTGCAGGAACACGCAGGCAACTGCATCGGCAAAAATCCCGCGGGGAACGAGCCGGAACCCTCTGAGGCTAGAGATCCGAACCCTCTGAGGCTAGAGATCCGACGCTGCTACAAAACCTGGAGGGCGGGCGGTTGGGGGCCCTCGCGGGGCCTCGGGAGCGTCAACAAAATGTCTCAGGGCAGAAAGACGGCGCTGTAGGGAAGCGGTATGGACCTCTGGAGCCCACGCATCGAAAACATTGGAGCAGCCAGATGTCTGGGGAGTGTGAAACAGGAGGCTGAGGAGGAGGAGGAGGACAACGCAGAGACCGTAATTAACGCGAGTTCCCAAAGAGACGCCCACCCCAAGGCGTACCGAGAAGCCAGACGAACTGCGGCCCTCAGAGGTCTGCGCGGATCTCTTGGATCGGCGCTGGACCCCCTCTCTTGAGCATCACCTCGCCGATCCCCACCTCCCGCTGGCGTGGCCCACGGCCCCACTGGCCGACTTGCCCCCCAAGATGGGGACGCAGCCTGTGTCCCTTCGGGCTTCCAGGGGCCCATCCCCAACAGGGGGTGGTGGGCAGCAAGGCCTGCCCGGACCGGGCAGCACAGCCTGCCCGGGAGCAGCGCGCTGTATACTGCTGCATATCCAAGGTCGGCGCGCTCGGCCTATAAACCGAGCTCCGTGGAGCCAGGCGGAGCAGCGGCGTTGGCTGCTCGCATTTTTTGACGGCCAGGGGCCCCTCGCATAGGACACTGCCGAGGCGCTCATCGAGAACCGCGGCCTACCTGAACGAACGGGCTGAGAGACAGTGGCCCGGTGGATGGGGGCACGCAGGTTGAACGGTACTGATCCCTGGCGCGCGGGGCGCGCCAGGGGCTGCGCCGGATGCGCCGCCCTTGCCAGCGCTCGGACGTCCATTCCCGGTGCATGTTTCGGCTTCGCGCGCCATGGTTTCGCAAACATATTCCTCGGCGGTCCTCGCCGAGAACAAATTGCCCACGCCCGAGCGCTGCCAAGCGCCCGCGCAGGCCTCCAAGACATACCTCCGCGCGGAGGTCCCAGAGCTCGCGTGGCCCGTGCGGCGTTTTTGTTGCCCCCGAGCGCGCCGCTGGAGGAGGGGCTCCCGGGCAGCCGCGGAGCTCCCTCGGACAGCTCCGCGGCGATCACGGGGACGTACCTGAGCGGCAGCGATATGAGGGGGGGGGACTGGCTCGGGGGGGGCAGCACCGACCTGGGATCGGCGATGCATGGCCGATGCATCGTCCGATAGGCCCCCGATGGCGAGTCCGCACGTTCCTGCTGGGCGGGGTGGGGCCATCAGACCCCCATCGACGACCCATGGGTGATTGGGGGTCGATGCGTTAGCCCAAAGCCAATCTGGGGAACAAGCAGTGACGTCAGATAAAGAACTCGGGGGTCCGCGCAGATTTCTCGGATCGGCGTCAGACCCCCCATCCCTGGCGCGCGGAGCGCGCAAAGGGCGCCTGAGGCGCCGCCTGCGGACCTCAGAAGCTCTATGTTTGTGTCACTGCTTGTTCCCCGAATCCCCCCCCCCCCCCTGTCGTTGTCCCTGGGTACCTCTGCAGCCAGCGTGCGGTGGGGTCCAGAGGGGACAGCTCGCTGCCCCGCGGGACGCGGCGGTGGAGCTCCGCGCCGCCGCTCCGAGCGCTGGAGCCCAGCGAGCCAGCCCTCAGCAGCTGCTCCATGAGGTCGCTGAGGTGCTCCCGCGCCGAGCGCTCCACAAGCGGCACGATCTCCTCGTCCTGGACCGCGATGCTGACCTCTTCGTGCGCCCTGGGGTCGAATATGACCGCCTCCACCTTGTGCGGGAACGGCTGCTGCCACATCGCAATGACGCAGGGCACGCCGGCCAGGTCCCGGTGCTCCATGTACACGCGGGTCGGGTCCCCGTCAGCAGGCATCTGCACCTCCACGACGGCGTCCGCGCACTCTGCATCGTCAGCACGGGGCCGGATCGAGAGCACGTGCGCCCGCCTGCTGCCGTCCAGCCGCAACACGAGATCCACCCGGATGCTCCCCAGGGTGGCCTGCTTGCGGGCACTGAGGGGCTCCAGACCGGTCGGGGTGTGGATGGAGTCTGGATGCAGCGCCGCTGCCCCGATGCTGGCGACCAACTGCTCTCCGCCCTCGCCATATCCTCCGCCTCCGAACATCTGGAGATCATCTTTCGTTTGTCGGCGATGCCACGGGATATCCGGTGACGGGGGAGGAGAGAGGTGCCGGCCGATAGCCTGCCTGTTTCGCTCTGGGCAGCCCCATGGATGCCCGCGCGCACTCGTAGTGCGCGGCCCCCCCCGGACCTGCGCGCCCGACAAGTTCAGGTGATCCGGGGGGGAGGGGGGGCGCCGGCGGGCCCGAGAACCCGGGCTCTCGCTGGAAATCCCACCAGCCCTTTAGGGCGTAGGTGGTCTAGGGCGGTCTCTCTTCCAAGCCCGCGTTTCCCCGTTCGGGGGGGGGGGGGGGACCCCTCCCGCTACCCCCTCCCCTGGACCTGGACGGGGGGGTTCGCGAAAGGTTGGAGCACCCAAGATGGCCCAAGGTGGCTCCAAGACAGCCTGGGATAGCCCAAGATGAACTCCGAAAAGGCCCAAATTAGCGCAAGATGGCTCAAGATGGTTTCCAAGATGCTCCAAAGGGCTCCAAGACCGCCCCAAGACGGCTCCAAGTGGCCCGAGAGCTCTCCGAGGAGGCCTCCAACAGGCCAGAATCTTTCAAAAACCTGGGGGACGCAATGGTTGTTGCTTCTCGCGCTTTCGCTTATGATGGCCTTCCGAAGCCGATGGCTTCTAGATGGCCCAAGAGGGCCCAAAGAAGGGCTCAAGAGAGCCCCAAGACGGCCCAACAGCGCCCCAAGAGGCGATCTCGTAGGCTCTAGAAGGGGCAACGCTAATTTAGAAACCCGTATTTGTTGATCGATGTCCTCCAAGATGGCCGCAATAGCGCCCTTCAAGCTCCCAAGAGCGCCCCAAGAGGGCCCCAACAGGCGCCCAGACGGGCCCATGAGGAGCCAAGAGGCCTCCAACAGACTCCCAAGAGACCCCCAAGAAGCCTTCAGATAATCCCCTGTGGGGTTACACGAAGAGTGTTTTGCCAGTTCTCCGTCAGGAGGGGAGCTTTCGCAGCTTGATTGATCGGCGAAGAGCGTGATTGTTCTTCATGGTGATTTCCTTCGCGTAGTAGTTCAAACCCAGATCCAAGCGATGTACGGGAGACGTACTTTTTCCTGCCGTGCCTGAGTATGGCATGGCGTTGTGCCGCGAAGTTATGGTTACGATCGCGCCACGAAGGGTCGGCGATCGAAGCCAGAACAGCTCGGATAAGTCATCGATGTCCGGCGGCGGCGGGACACCCGTGCTGAGGCAAGGCAGGGGTGTGGCTGCATCAACTCGGAGCGTCTAGAACTTCCAAAAACAGTCTCCTGGGTCGTCTCCATGCCCATGATCTGGCCGGTGGTGCCGCGGCCGAAGCTGCCGTCGGTGATCGCCAGGCGCGTGCCGGTGTGGCCGAGGGCACCTCCGGGCTCCGGCCCTACGAGCACGCCGGCCTCGTCGGGCGACAGCTCCAGCGGCTCGGGGCAGGTCCGGGTCGCCTGCACCACCAGCTGCTCCGCGCTGGCACCGCGGGAAGGCGACTGCGGCCCCAGGTCCTGGGGGAACTCAGAGGATACCGATGGCGCTGGAGGTCGTTTTTCATTGATGTTCGGCGATGCAATCCAGATTACCCTGTGCGGGAGGGAGACAGGCGCTGGCCGATAACCTACGCGCTTTCCGCTTTGGACGACCCCAGGCGTGCCCGCGCGCACCAGCTCTGCGACACCCGCTCGGACCGCGCAGCCGACAAGGTCAGGCTATATCCAGGCGGCGATGGGGTGGGCGGGCGGGCCCGGTAACCCGGGCTATCGCTCCCTCCTCCTCCTCTCCTCCTCCTCCTCCTCCTCCTCCTCCTCCCTCCTCCTCCGCCCTCCTCCTCCTCCCTCTCCCCCTCCTCCTCCTCCTCCTCCGCCCTCCTCCCCCTCCTCCTCCGCCCTCCTCCTGCTCCCCGGACCTCTCCCGGGGAGCGTTCCGACTAGAAATTTTGGGGCGAGTGCAGCCGTGCGGCGAGGGTCTCCCTGGAGGCCCGCACTGGCGAAGACGAGACCAAGGGTCCCAGACCCCGACGTCACGATATGTGTCCCAACACTCCTGTGTGTGTTGGGTTTTCGCTTTCAATAGAGCGCTGTGGTTTTCCTCCTCCTCCTCCTCCTTCCTCCTCCTCCTTCTCTTCCTCCTCCTCCTCCTCCTTCTCTTCCTCCTCCTCCTCCTCCTCCTCCTCCTCCTCCGTCTCCTCCTTCCCTTTCCTCCTGCCTCCAGCCTCCTGCCTCCTTGCTCGCCTCGTCCGTGGGCTCCTGGGAGGCACGGCGGAGCGCAGGGCCACGCAGACCTCTTCGAGACCTCGCGGTTCTTTCGGGGGCTGCGTACTGCGCCACGGTCGCCACTTCCGTGGGCTCCTGGGAGGCACGGTGGAGGCGAGGGCCCGGCGGATCACTTCGAGCCCTCGCGGTTCTTTCGGAGGCTGCGGACTGCGCAACTGCTGTCACTTTTGTGGGCTCCTGGGAGGCACGGCGGAGACGAGGGCCACGCGGATCACGTCCAGATCTCGCGGCTTCCTCGGACGCTGCGAACTGCGCAACTGTCGCCACTGTCGTGGGCTCCTAAAAAGCACGGCTGAGATGAGGGCCACGCTGGTCACTTCGAGACCTCGGCACCCGCGAGGGCTGCGAACTGCGCGACTATCGCCACTTTCGCGGGCTCCTGGGAGGCACGGCGGAGTGCAAAGCCACGCGGATCACTTCGAGACCTCGCGGCTCCCGCGAGGGCTGCAAACTGCCCCACTATTGCCACATTCATGGGCTCCTGGGAGGCACGGCGCAGTGCAGGGCCACGCGGATCTCTTCGAGACCTCGCGGCTCACTCGGGGGCTGCGAACTGCGAAACGGTCGCCACTTTCGTGGGCTCCTGGGAGACACGGCGGAACGCAGGGCCACGCGGAACACGTCGAGACCTCGAGGCTCCCGCGAGGGCTGCGGACTGCGCCACGGTCGCCACTTCGGAGGGATCATGGGAAGTACAAGGGAGTGCAAGGTAGAGCCGACCGTGCACATCTCGCGATGACGTCTTTTCTTGTGTTGCATCCTCGGGGGACCGTGTCTGTCCCGTCGTGGCCCTTTCCGCGTCGAATCCGTGTCGAATCCATGTCGGACTCGTCGGATCCATGTCGGATCTGTGTCGAATCCGCGCCAGATCCACGCCTAATGCGCGCCGGGCACAAGAGAAGACACCACTTGTGGGGAAAGGCGAGGCCCCCCGAAGATGCAACGTAACTTTTCTATGGAACGCTCATACAAATTATACGTTCTTGGTAATTCCACGACGTCGACCCCCTGGGACCCGCTGGTCATCTCGAGAGCCGTTTTCGACGGCCCCGCCGTGATTTCTTCATAACTCGTGCACGGCCAACCCGAACGCTGACCAGACGCCTGTTTGATCCCGAACAGGGCCGAGCCGAGGACGAGAACGAGGATGAGGCCGAGGCCGAGGCTGAGGATGGCGACGACGACGACGACGAAGAGGACGGGGACGGGGACGAGGACGAGGACGAGTAGAAGGACGAGGACGAGGACGACGAGGACAAGGACGAGGACAAGGACGAGGACAAGGACGAGGACGAGGACGAGGACGAGGACGAGGACGAGGACGAGGACGAGGACGAGAACGACGACGACGACGACGACGACGACGACGACGACGACGACGACGACGACGACGACGACGACGACGACGACGACGACGAGGACGCCGCCGAAGGGCGCCAGGGCCGAGGCGGGCCGCCGGGGAGGGCGCTGCCCCCCCGGGGGAGCCCCGCCCCGCGGCGCCGCAGAGGGCCAGAAGGCCAGAAGGCGCCCGCGGCGGGCCTCGCCCGCCTCCCCGCCGCCCTCCGCGCCCCGGCCGATGGCCACTCGGCGGCGAGCGAGGGAGGCAGCTCGAGGTTCGAGCTTTTCCATTCTCGGCGGCTTTCTAGCCTCGGCGTTTTCGGACGCTGTCGTCTATTCGGACGCTGTCCTTCGACTCTCTCGTTTCGGGCGCTGTCGTCGATTCTCGGCGGCTTTCTAGCCTCAGGGTGCTTGCCAGCAGCTGCGCCTCGCCGAGGGCGTTCCGGGGGCGCCCGGGTCGTCCCGAACGGCCGCCGGAGACCCGAGTTATGACACAAAAACCACATTCGGCGACGCGCCAGGGGGGAAGTGAGAAGTAGAAGGCCTTCTCAGAAGGCGGCGGGACTTTCAGAGAGCCTCGCGCCTTCTGAACAATGCCTCGCCTTGTGGGTGGCCTGGATGTCCATTCGCGGATCATCCTCGCGAGCCGGCGACGGCCGGCATTGGGGAAACCGATGGGTACCGATACCGCTACTCCCTGGACCTCTCCCGGGGTGCATTCTGACCAGAATTTGGAAGCGAATCCAGCGGTGGCAACGAGGGCATCCCAGGAAACCCAGACAGGGGAGAACGCGAGAAGGGGAGGCGGTATGGGTACCTTTCGGGCGAACCATGACGGGGAGTCATGGTCAGCGTGCTTCTGCCCCCGAGGTCCCCGCTGCCCTGGCGGGCCGCTCTGGCCCGCTCACCGCGGAACTCTCCCACGCCTGAGCGCCCCCCCTCCTTCCCTCGCGCGGCCGCCCTCGTCTTCGCCCCTCCCTCCTGCACGCCGACCAGTTTGCCGATCGGCTGCCCCGATTCGCCCCACGCTGGTCGGGTCGGGCGGAAGGGGGGGATATAGCAAAGAGGGGGCTTGGTAATCAGCTCACGTAGCTGATTTTCCCGGCGCCTCCTGGCGCCGGAGGGAGCAATGTATCGAGGAATGGGCCCCTCGGTGAGGCCGAAACCAGCTGCATGAAACAAATTTCGTATCCCCCCCTTTCCCAATTCCTTCCTTTCGCCCGGCCCGCGCTGGTGCGGACTGCCTCCGCCTCGCCGCCGACGGGCGGAGATTTCTGCCCCCGACCTCCCCCTGGGTCCAGGCCCTCGGCCAGGCGCCTCAGCAGCTCCGGGCGCTGCGCCGGGTCGAGGAGCACGTGCTCTTCCAGCGCCAGCACCTCGGGCTGTGCTATACACGTATATAACTGAATGCGTACATATGTTTACACATACATACCTACCTGCCTACCTACCTACCTACCTACCTATCTACCTACCTACATGCATACATACATACATACATGCATACATACATGCATACACCATACACACATGCATCCATACATACATACATACATACATACATACATACATACATACATACATACATACATACATACATACACACATACATACATACATACATACATACATACATACATACATACATACATACATCTATACATACTTACATGCATACATACATGCACACATACGTACGTACGTACGTACGTACATACATACACACACATACATACATACGTACATACATGCATACCTACCTACATATATACAGGCATACATACATACATACCTGCATACATACATACATACATACATACATACATACATACATACATACATGCATGCATACATACATACATACATACATACATACATACATACATACATGCACACGTACGCACGTACGTACGTACGTACGCACGTACATACATGCATACACACATACATACATACATGCATACATGCATACATTCGTATGTACGTGCGTACATACATACATGCATGCATACAAACATACATACAATATAAATATTCCTGATGCTATCGGCCCTAGAAGCCAACCCGAGGGTTTATCCCTGGTACCTGCTGACACCGCATTCGCCCGATGCGCTTGCACGCTTGTGCGCAGGAGTGGGGAAGGCAAGGCGCCCTGGGAGGCCCCGGAAGGGCCAGCGGACCTTTTCCAAGGGCGTCCCTGGGGCCGCCGAGACGTCCGAAAGGGCGTACGGGGCGTCCCCAGAGGAGAGGGTCCGGTTTAGGGGTGTGTGTGTGGGGGGTTCCGGGTTATGAACATATAGGTACAGGAACCTGTAGGAATGCCATCGTTCCCGGGCCAAAACAAGAACATGAGAGCCCATGTTGGACAATGTGTGTACGTTTTCCTTTTCGGCGTTTCGACATTGGGAGGAGGTGGAGGGGTCTGGCTCCGGACCTCTGCTTCATGCGTCTGCTTGCAACAGTGCGTCCTGTGGGGGGGACTCCACCTGCTTGAGCAGGCGCCCGAAACACCCAAGATCTACTCCATGGGGGCGGGGAGGGGGGGGGCGCGAGGACCCGCGCCGATCGGCAACAAAAATGAATAGGAACAAAAGCAATCACATTGGGGGAACAGTTGGAGCTCCGCGCGGATTTCTTGGATCTGCGCGCTGGATCCCCCTCCCTGGCGGGCGGAGCGCGCAAGCTGTCGGTGCCAGAGGCGCCGCCAGGGAGGGCCAGCGCAGATCCAAGAACTCCGCGCTGACCGTCGACAGTGTATGTTTATGTCGATCTTATCCTTCCTGGAACAGAACTTCACAACTCTCTGTCGCTGTATTGCTGCTGGTTGTGAACCACGGCTGCATGCAACTCCTCGACAAAAATCTTGCACCGATTTCTGGCCGCAACGATCGCCGCGGCAACCTCCACGACCGACCCGGAGGTTTGGTTCGGAGTCGGAGAACACGCATCGAACCTTGGCAAGGTCGGCGTCCTGCAGGCGCAACGCCAGCAGCTTGCCCTCCGGCACGCCGCGGGCAACGACGAGGAAGCTATTCAGCGCAAAGATGGCGTTCGGGGCGCTCGGCTCGTCGAAGATCCACACGTGGAAGGGCTGGCCCTGCTGAGAGGTAACGATGGGGGAGGGATCAGCTCAGGGGGCAGACATCGAGCTGGAATCGGCGAAACCTCGCCGATATGTCGGCGATGGGTCCCCGACCACAAATCCGAAAATTCCTGGGCGGGGTGGGGCTATCGGGCTCCTATCGACGATCAGTGTGCGGGGACAGCAAGCGACCACAACCACATCGAGGACACATCCTGGGTCATGTCCTGCGCATGCCAAAAACTGTCGGAACACCGAAACCAGCCTCGTACAGGTTGTGGTCGGATGTGGCGTCCCAGGACGGCCAAATCGACCACAACCACAATCAAAGTGCTCACGTCGGGGTCGGTGGGTTCTCCCCCGAAGGTCCCTGCCGAAAAATCCACTTAGTTATGGTTGTGGTTCCTTGTTGTGCCCTGCCAATGGGCGATTGGGGGTCCATTCACCCCTGAGCCCATCCCGAGGGGGAAAACAATGACATTAATATAACAACTCGGAGGTCCGCGCGAATTTCTCGGATCGGCGTTGGACCCTTCCGCGGCGCGCGGAGCGCGCCAAGGGCGGCGCCGGAGGCATCGCCAGGGGATCCCAATTCCGATCCGAGGAATCCGCGCGGTCCTCCGAATTTTGAACATTTAAGCCAATGCTTGTTTCCCGAATCTCCCCCTATCGCTGCCACTATCGACGATCAATGGGCGATTGGGGGTCGATGCGAATCCTTGCGAAACACTGCATGGACTGCTTTGCTTGCTTTTGTTCTTGTTTGGTTTATTCCTACGCTTCAGGGAACGAAGAGAACAACGGAGGTGGAGCAGGAGGAACTGTGCTTCTCTCGAGGAGGAGGAAGCGGAGGAAGAGGAGCAGGAGGAGTTGCGCTTCTCCCGAGGAGGAGCAGGACGAGGAGGAAGAGTCCTGGAGAAGAGGAGCGGAGCAGCGAGCGCGGTTCCCTCCCAGGCCCTTTGAGGGCCGAAAGCGCCGAAATCTGAAGCTTGAATGCATCCTCCTCCTCCTTCTCCTCCTCTCGCCCTCCTCATCCTCTCTCCCTCCTCCGCCTCTCCTCCGCCTCTCCTCCTCCGCCTCTCCTCCTCCGCCTCTCCTCCGCCTCTCCTCCTCCTGCTCCAGTCTGAACCTATCCCCGTCCCTGGTGGTTTTCAAACCATAACTCGGGCCTCTGGCGGCGCGGCCGATCGGGACGATCCAGGCACCTCCGGAGCGCTCTCGGCGAGGCACACCCGCTGGAGGGCATCCCGAGGCTGAGAGACTGCCGAGAACCGACGAGGACGGCCGAAAACCTCGAACCTGGAACCTGTCCTCCTTCACGAGCCTGTCCCTCCTGTCGTTGCCCGCCCCCCCCCCCCGATCATGTTGCTCCCATCGTTAAATTAAGGACCACATCCCAGAAATCATTTCGAGCACCCAGGAAAGTATCGCAACAGGATCGAGTGAGTATCCCCCCCCCCCAGGGCCCGACGCGCGAAAACCATATCCTGTTTCGTATTTTCTCCTGGTGCTCGAAAGTCTTTCTGGGGGTCAAGGCTAAAGTAGGCTCTGGAACATCATAGCCCCCCGAGCCTCGGGGATGAACAGACCCCCCTTTAGTAAAACGTGGTTTAGTGAAAACGACCTGAGGCCCAAACCTGGCGGGCGCAAGCCTGGAAAATAACGGCCACGGCGCCCTCTCGAGAACCGAAAACGGACAATTCACTAATCGACGTGTCACTGTTGGGGGTTGTGTCCACCCCCGAGAGCCCATCTCCCCCCCCCTCGCTGCCCACGACCCGCAGGGGCCGCGCGGCGCGCAGCAGGCAGTGGCGCCCGTCGCCCGAGAGGCACTCCGCGGCCTGCTCCTCCGCCGAGGCCTGCGGGGGGCGCCCACAGCGGGCACTCCTCCTCCTCCTCCTCCTCCTCCTCCTCTCCTCTCCTCCTCCTCCTCCTCCTCCTCCTCCTCCTCCTCCTCCTCCCTCCTCCTCCTCCTCCCCTCCTCCTCCCCCTCCTCCTCCCTCCTCCTCCTCCTCCTCCTCCTCCTCCTCCTCCTCCTCCTCCCCCTCCTCCCCGGCGTCCCGGAAGGGGGTGTCGCACGCCAGGGCCCGAGCCGGCGGCGCGCGGTGGGGGGGGGGGGCCCTGAGGCCCTGGCGTCTCGACTTTTGCCTCGGGCCGGGAGTTCTCGCGTCAGGCCTCGGGCCCTGGGACCCCCACGGCCCGACGCAGCTCGAGGCAGTGGCGCAGAGGGAACGGGTCCAGGGCTTCGGTCGCGATTTCGGTGTACGATGTTTGATTTTTTTCGCGCCGTCGGCTCTCTGGGGGGTGGGGGGAGGGGGGAAGGCTTCTCAAAAGGAGGCTGCTTTCTGAAAGGCGCCGGCCTGGCATCTCTAGATGGGGCCTGCGATTTCTCAGGAGCAGCCTCCTTCTGAGTTGCCTTCCCCCCATCCCCCTGCCTCCTTCTGCGCGTGGCTGATCCTGCGGGGGCAGCGGGCGACCACAGCCATGGAAGGGCCGGCCCTGCTGAGGAGCCACCACGGGGGAGGGACCAGCTCTGGGGGGCAAACATCGGCCTGGGATCGGCGAGACATCGGCCTCCTTCGGAGAGGCCTTCCCCCCTCCCCCATGCCCACCTCCGCGCATGGCCGGCCGAGGCACGTGCGCGGCCCAAGGGGGGACCAGGAGCCGCACCGGAAGAAGAGGACGAAGCATGATGGCACCAAGGAAGGAGCCGCACCGGAAGAAGGAGCCGCACCGGAAGAAGGAGCCGCACCGGAAGAAGGGGAAGAAGGGAATCAGAGTAATGATGATAATACCACGAAGAAAAGACTGCTAATAAGAAGAAAAATATTCAAATGCAACTGACAAGCATTATAAGACACATACTACTACTACTACTACTACTACTACTACTACTACTACTACTACTACTACTACTACTACTACTACTACTACACTACTACGACTACTACTACTACTACTACTACTACTACTACTACTACTACTACTACTACTACTACTACTACTACTACTA